TTTCATTTATTTTTGTCTCCCGCTCGAAGCGGACAAGCGTACCGCCGGATCTTGGCTAACAAGTACGAGTAGAGTGCGAGTGTGTGTGTGTGTGTGTGTGTGTGTGTGTGCCTCTTCACACGTTTGTCCATTATCTTTTGCTCTCTTTCGACTGAAATTAGTTGGCTAAAAACAATGAGAAATCCGTATTCAGGGCAGTTCCTTCAATGGCCGCAACACTTTGGCATTCGGCGGCGGCCAGCGGACACCGGGACAGCGGATAACGGACAACGGACAACGGACAGCCGGAGATCGGAGAGCGGCTTTTGTGTAATATCAAAAAAACACACACAAAAATGGCTCAAAGACTTGTAGTCAGTGCCGTGCACCTGCCCCGTGCCCCCTATCCATTGCTTACAACCTCCCTGCCTCCCCCTCTAACTGCTGATCCGGCCATGGCGGACGTGTTGCGCATGCGCCTGAGGGCAATACAAGTTTTGGACCCGAACCGAACGTCTCTTGTGTCTGTTGTGTTGCCATACAATTTATATGCCAAGTGGGCTGAGAGTGAAAATGTCATTGGCAGATGTGTCGCGGATATTAGCCACCAGCCCCCGCAACCTCCACAATGCACCCAACTACAACCCATCGACAACTTCCTCTGATGTCCCCTATGCAAATATTTATGCTCGTATTGTAGATACATACATTGTAGCTACTCGACAGACAAAAGGCCCGCACTCGACGGAATAATATGTTTATGGTGATTGTAACAAAATGTTGTTGAATGTTGCCTCTCTGGGAAAGTAATTTCTCTCTTTTGAATACTCTTCCACACAGGGGCCAAGCAAAAGGTAGAGCATCAGCGAGTAGTCTATCAGCACTCTACACAGAGAGTCTCTTACTGAGAAGGGGTGGCATCAGTAATATTTACAAGGCAGGCACATGTGGTGCTCTCCGCTTGCTACTGTTTCTGTTTGCTGGGGTTCTGCCCCCTGGTGGCAGACATCTTTTTAGCTGTAATTATGATGGGCTGGTGCTGGTAGCACCGTTTAGACATCACAAGTTAATTACCCCGGTTCAGCCCCAGCCCGTTTCAATGGGACAGGCCGAGTGGCCAACTACTTTCGACACTTTCAATGGGCAGAGGCATTGCTGGAGAGGAGTCGGGTGGGCTGCTGCTGCTGCTGCTGCTGCATTTCTCAAGTTTGTCTATTTTTGGTGTTGAGCAGCTGGGGGCTGGGGGAGGCCCTCAAGCGAAAAGCGCCATTAAATCGATTTTACATTAAAGAAATATTGCACAAGGCATCATCATCATTGTTGGTGTTGCTGTCAGAATTAATGGATCATAATTATTGCTGAGCGTACAGCCAGGCAACAATCAGCCACAGACCGAGACACAACAGATGATATCTAAGCAACCAGTAGCTGCAGCATTAGAAAAGAAAACAAGAAGCCAAGAGCACAGAGCACAGAGCACCGCTTTGCCCGGCAATTGAAGACCGATCACGAGGCAGAAGATGGGATTAACACAGAGGGAAAAGTTTTCTGGGGAAAATGTGAAGCATCAGCAGCAGCAGCAGCAGCAGCAGATTGGTAAGAGTAAATTCTCATGATGGGAATGGGAAGAGGCCGCGATCTATCGCAACCAGCAGATGGAGCCAGCAGATAGGGAGAGTGGATGGTCAGGAGATGGTCAGCCACTTAGCCAGCATTCAACATTCAGCCACTTTCAATGGCAAAAAGAGAGAAAGAGAACTTTTCTTTTCTTTTCTTTTTTTTTACTGCTGCTGCTGCTGTTGCTGTTGCCACTGCATTGTTGCATTGTTGCTTTTTGTGCTTTACTTGAAGTTTTCCAAGAGAAATTTATGGCATAGTTTGATGGAAGATGATGCGTGGTTGTCCCTCTCTCTCTCTCTGCCTGAATACCAAAGAAGAAAAAGAGTCTGCTGGCATGGTCGAGCATCGAACATCGAGCATCGAACATCGAGCATCGAGCATCTCCATCCCTCTGGGCTTTGAGCGATTTGTTCTGGCTGCAATGTTGACCTCCACTCGAGACACAGCTACAGCTACAGCTACTCCTCCTCCTCGTGCTGCTCCTCTGGCGCAAGTCCCCGCAAAGAAAGCTGACGACCGACCATCTGTTTCTACTGTATTTTGGTTGCTGTTGTTTTATGTTGACTTGACGTCATATTGCGGCAAGTGAAAATGTGTGCGATGCGATGCGATGCGATGCCGACAATCCGGTTTGCAGGTTTCAGTTTCGGCTGAGCTTGTGAGATTGTTTATGTTGAACATTCAACGTTCAGCCCGTAACAGCGGCGGCCGCCACAGCCGAGAGGAGCATTTGTATGCCTCCCCCTCCCTGCTCCTCTTTGGTTTTTGGTTTTTGGCCCAATGTTAAGACGAGATGTTAAAAACGTGATTTCCATGCGTCTCGGCTCGTAGCGTAGTCGGCATATTTAAATAAAATACTTTTACTATCAGCCGAAAACTAGTCGGCAAACGGGCAAACAGCTCGTTATATTTGCCGATCAAAATTATAGTGCAACAACGGCGCCAGTAGTTGGCAGTTCGTTGTTGCGGTTGCTGCCACCAGTCCAGTGTGGCAGTGGCAGTTGCAGTCGCAGCGCGGCATACGCAATGCCCCGCCACGCAGCGCAGAGGCCACTGACCAGGGAGATTTGTGCACCCCACACGACACTGCCGGGCAGCGGTGTCGTTGCAGTGCCACTGAACCCCCCACCAAAAGCGGGTGGATCCATCGCATCCAGCGGCTTACATTCGCATCTATTTATTTATCTATCATTTTTGTGAGGCACTTATGCAACCCCAACCCCAAGCAATTTATCATCAAACATTTCCATGGCCCTTGCCGTTTGCCGTTTGCCGTTTGCCTTTTGCTATTCATAATTTGCATCACATAACACACAACACAAAATGGAACGCCCCGCGCGCAGCTTAATAAATAAAATATGCGTTAATTGTATGCCCCAATGTCCAATTGATCGGCGGCCGGACATTTCTTTGGACCCTTTCTTTTCTTTTCTTCTCTTCTCTTTCGATATCTTTGTCAATGTCTTTGGGGGGCACCGCCGAAGGAGCATTATCGCTTATTATACAATAAGTATTAGCGTTAGCGGGTGCAAAAGGCACACAAATTCCAGAGAGCTATTTTTGATTTCTGTTTTTGATTTCGGCACAAATCAGAGACTGGTGTGAATCATAATCGTAATGTAGTTGTTGTACATTGGGTGGTTGTGTCTGTGTTTGGGTGAGGGCAGCACACGCTGCCGGTACGGTAATAGGCTTATGTCAGCCGCTCGAGACTTGAGTAGAAAAGGAGCAATTCTGTCCCTGTTCAGGGTCTTATCTGTATGTTGCTAGGCCGAGAACGCACTATCTCTGCTGTTTGTGTTGCACTGCTGCAAGTTGTTTTATCTCCCTCTTCCCTGTTCTTGGAACATCTTCTCTGTGTGATGTCATATGCTGATGGACCTACACTCAAGTGTTACTGCCAGTTGGTATGCAAATGAAATGCTAATGCCACAGCTTGAAGCTGGGAAACCTTTTGTCTTGGCCAAAATTGGCAAGACATTTTCTTCTTTTCATCTTACTCAACAGCAAAGGCAGCGCGAACGGAAGTGATTAAGAAAGGCAGCAGCGAGTGGCCCCTGTCTGGCACCATCTCTCTCGTCCCATCAAAGAAAGTGGGGAAGAAGCCGTAGAAATGAGGGAGGCGGAAGACGAAGACGCTTATGCAAATGCTAACTAGTCCGATGAAAAGAGCCACCAGAGATACCAGAGATGTACATCTGCATCTGCCTTTGCCTGGCCTGAACATAGATACACAGATACACATTACATCTGCAGCTGCCACAGCTGTTTTGTCTAGCTGCTGGTGCGCCTGCTCTGTGATGTAAGCGAGTCCAAAATAGTGCTGCTACCCGCTACCCGCTACCCGAACAACTCTTTCTCCGACCGACCGACTGCTCTTAATTTATGCAAATGCGACAACATTTCTTCGACGGCTTTCTTCAGATGCAAAACTACATCAAGCATACACACACCTACATCTTGTGTATACATCTGCGTATGTGTATGTGTAATATGCAGTAATAACAATAAAGTTTTTGGCAATAGACCGTTTTGGCGTCAACACACGCCAGCGCTTTTAACCCACAGACTGGGGGTGGCCAAGCCGAACCGAACCGCAAATAAACAACAAAAAAACCCGGCGAAAATCTACACAAAAATCTTTACAAAATCTTTTCAGCAAGAGAGTGAAAACAGTTAACGAATTAGTTTAGCACTTTTGAAAGTTGTCAGCGGGGGAGAGAGAGCAGTGAGGAGGACATACGGACAAACGGACATACGGACACTGCGGACATGTACCCCTCGTCATACGCTTTGCACACTGAAATGAGGGAACGACTTTGTCTTGTCTGAAACATAAAACTCTTTATAATTGCACTGTAAACATTTCACTTTCGTTTTTATTTCACCTTTTTTTTGGGGCTTTGTCTTGAAAATCATTTTACTTTACACAAAATGTCGTCGTCGTCGTCTCCGCGCATCGTGCACAGAATAATTTCTGCGGCGGTCTCTCACTCCGCGCTTTCCCCATACCCATCCCCAACGATATTGTATGATGTGCATACTCGTATGTGGGTGCTTAAAGATAAAGATTGCGAGACAAGGGAACACTGAGCGGCACTGCCAGCTGAACGCTGAACGCTGATCGCTGAGCGGCTCTGAGGATTCAATTAGCATCTGTCCAGATTGTCTTTCCCGCATTTGCATTAATGAGGCAGGCGGGTGCTTGGTTTCTTTTTGCGGTTGCCAAATCGTGGCAGCTACTGCCGCTGACCCCCACGAATGACCCCGCCCCGAGTGCTGACATTTCCGCTGGTCCTACCCAGGAGTTGCAACACGCAGGAAACAGCAAACAGCAAACAGCAAACAGTTACACCCAAAGCCCGACTAATGATGTGCTTTTCGCTTCGATTCTCTTGCAGATCAACCTCCAAGGCAAAGTATCTGCCGCGCCAGAGCCATGATAAGCTGAACAACACGGACCCGGACCATGGCATCTACAAGCTGACGCTCACCTCCAACGAGGATCTGGTGGCGCACACAAAGCCCAGCTATGGGGTGAGTGGCGGCAAGCTGCCCAACAACCTCCCCGATGTCCTGCCACTGGGCGTGAAGCTGCAGCAGCAGCCGGCCAAGCCGCAGCCAGGCTCCCCCAACGGAGAGGGCAATGTGACGCTGCGGTACGGCTCCAACAATAACCTCGCAACGAAGTCGCCCACGAATGCCGCACCTCACTACACCATGATCTATGGTCAGGCCATGGCCGGGCATGGGGGACAGCGATACTCCACGCCGCCACTGGGACACGGCTACGGGAAGGCGACGCCGCCCCAGCACTACACGAGATCTCAGTCGTACGACGTGAAGCAGACCTCCGTCCTGCTGCCCGCACAGCAAAAGCATCTCATGACCCAGTCGCATGTGGACCTGAAGCAAGCCGTCCATGACCTCGAGACGACGCTGGAGGAGGCGATGCTGCCACCGCCAACGCCAACGCCCACCCCCACGCCCACGCCCACGCTCACGCCCACGGCCACACCCACCGAGACACCGACTCCCACACCGCCGCGACTGTCGCCGGCCACATCCAACTCGGACTGCAGCCTGAGCTCGCACAACAGTTCGCTGGAGTGCAGCATAATTCCTAACAAAACGAATGCGAACACGGTTCCTACACCCGAGGCGCACATCTTCCGCGCCGAGGTGATCAGCACCACCCTGACGAACGCACCCAAGCCGGCGATGAACCGCCAGGAATCTCTGCGGGAGAACATCGAGAAGATCACGCAGCTGCAGTCGCAGCTCATGTCCGCGCATCTCTGCGACTCTGGCCTGCTGGGTGGCTGTGGCTACACTGCCAGCGTTAAGCTGGCCAATAACAGTCCCAGTCCCAGTCCCAGCACAGAGCTCGCGCTGTCGCTGCAGCCACCGCCAAGTCCGCCCAGTCCACCGCCCGTCGAGGAGCAACCAATCGAAGTGCAGGCTGCGGCCGTCGAAGGTCTGCAGCTGATGCAACGCAGCGAACTCGTGCTGATGGTCAGTGCCAAGCCCAGCACCACGGACATGGCCTGCCAAACGGATGAGATGGCGGACAGGGACACCGATCTGGTGGCGGGGCGGGAGGAGCAGCAGACACGGACCACACTGCAGCCGCGCCAGCGTCAGGCCATTGAGCTGGACTACGAGAACCTGAGCAGCGAGCTGCTGAAGCTGCTGGCGCCCAACGACAAGCTCGTCGACATCCTCACACCAAAGAGCTGCAAGCCCACCTCCCACTACGTCAGCAATCTGTACAACCCGAATGTGCCGCTGCGTCTGGCCAAGCGGGACGTGGGCACCTCAACCCTGATGCGCATGAAGGCGGCCACCGCTGCGCCAGAGACCACCAAGGTGGTCAGCGTGGAGCTGCAGCTCGGCGATGCGAGTTGCGAGGGAGCGAATGTCATCAAACAGAAGCTGGTGAGTACTCCGCACCCTTGAAGCCTGTTGTTCCCTTACTAATTATCCACATGTAATCCCCAATCCAGGATGAGCTGATCAAACGGTTGAACCAAAAAATTGGCGCCCTCAAGCATGAGCAGCAAACCATTGGCGAGGAGTGCGCGACGAACGACAAACTGGGCCATGAATTGTTTGCCAAGCTGGCGGAGAGTGTGCGCCCCAGCCAGGCGTCCAAGTTCCGGACCTACATCGACGATGTGGGCCACATCACAAGTCTGCTGCTGTCCCTGTCCGAGCGTCTCTCCCATACAGAATGCAGTCTGGAAACGCGTCAGCAGGATAAGGTGAGTGGCCGCATGGCCATGCCATATGTGAACTGTTGCTAACTTATGCCCTCTTCCCATTCGCAATCCACAGAGCGTGCTGGAATCGAAGCGGACGCGACTGTACGAGCAGCTGGAGGAGGCGCAGCGCCTCAAAGCGGACATCGATCGACGCGGCAGCAGCATTGCCGGCCTCCTGGGCAAACATCTCAGCGCTGATCTGTGCGCAGACTACGATTACTTTATCAACATGAAGGCCAAGCTGATTGCCGATGCACGCGACCTGGCCGACAGGATCAAGGGCGGAGAGGAGCAGCTGGGCGCCCTCACCGATGCGCTAGTCCAAAGCGATTGCTAAGTTTGCAGACTGCCTGCCCCTCAGCAGACTGCCGGCCAATTTTCCCAGCTGTCAACTCAAAGTTGAGAGCCGCACGAGAGAATTATCCAGCCGTCCGCAATGTGTATTAGTTTAAAACGATGTGCTTCATTTCAACGCCCACACTATAATGATTTAATTGTATGTTCATTTGTGATTTTCAACTAGCTTGTAGGTTAATTATTCTATGTATCGGTCGCCGCCTAAGCGTAAGCATTTTTTACATAATTATCAAAGCAAAGATAAACATTATGCATTAATAAAATTATAACTACAACGATTTTGACTTATTGAAGGAAATTGTAATTCGAATGTGGCGGCTATCTGGCAACTCTAGTTTCAGTGCTGGAAAGTGCCGCGCAGCAGTCGTATATCAATTAGCCAAGTTTTAAACCAATAAAAGAGGGAGCATACTTTCGGGGTGCTCGAAACAATTCATGGTACATTTATGAAGTATCTTTTGGGGGCATCTTGTACGCTCCCAAAAATATAGCATACTTTCAGGAGGCGCCGGGAAATTTTTATAAAACACCACAGAATGGCGTATCCTTGCAGGCCTTGAGGCCCTTAATGGATTCAAATGAAACAGGAGATCCTGCCATCCATGAGGATACGCTTCACATTCGAATCGGATAAGAAATGGCCGAGTTATGAAAATTATATCCTTAATCCTTTGTGTCCTTGACATAGGACATGTCCTGAATTGTCAGGAAAGACGTCCTGATTATGAAAAGGTAAGGCACGTCCTGATCGGACCACCAGGAGCGGAGAAAACAACAAAACAAATATTTCCTGTTGTTGTTGTCGTCAACATTTGTTGTTGTACAACAAAAATACATTTGTTGTACAACAAAAGTTGTTGTTGGTATTATTGAACAACAAAAATTCACTTGTTGTACAATAAAAGTTGTTTTTTGTTATTTTTGTCAGATTGTTGTACAACAATAGCAAAAACAACTTTTGTTGCACAACAAATGAATTTTTGTTGTACAACAATATAAATTGACAACAACAACAGGGCAGATGTATTTTCTTGTTTTCTCCGCTCCTTGTGGTCCGATCAGGACGAACAATGAGTCCTAGTGATCGGGACATTGTCCTGGATCGTTTGCTATCTCTAAGGATGCTAGGACATTAAGGATAATGCCATTTTAAAGTAGTTTTCAAATCGAATCCGTACAACGCTATAACTCGGCTGTTTCAAATAGGATCAGGACGTGCAATGAATCCTCGCCATCGGGAGAAGGTCCTGCATCACTTAAATACATCAAGGACCTCAAGAACTGCAAGGATATGCCATCGCTTTGTTATTATATTTTGTAAACTTTACCCGCCTGAAAGTATACCACGTTGTATATTAAAATTCCTGCCCAAAAGTATGCCACCCGTTTTTAGTTGTTTCGGTGTTCCTTCGGAAGAGAATGGAATAATTCCAATGTATAAGCCGGAGTCTAGCCCCAGTTATGTTGTAAAGGTAGAAGAACTGGCACCAAACCACTCCGACCTTATAATATTTACTTATATTTCCTTTGTGCAATTTTCAGGAAAACAATAAAATGTTCAATGATTTCAGTTAACATACATGTTACATACATTTACATACTGAACACAATGCTCCCTTGCTTCCAGAAGATTTGAATACAAAATTCAAATAACAACATTGTAAAATATAAGGCCATAAGGTATACAATCCAATAAAAAAGAGTATTCATAATAATCCAAATTGATTCTTCAATCGGTTTAAATTATTGTTTCAGTGTTAAAAGTCTTTCCAATCTAGTAAAATCAAATAGAACATCAAAATCGAGGAATTTAAGATTACGGTATATTTTTAATATGATATCGTATATGTTGGTATATTTTTGAAGGTCAGGGGGTAATTTTATCGATAATTTACAAAAAAATAAATAAATAAAAAATGTCGCTTATTAAAAATTTGGTAAAAGAAACGGAGAACAAACCCAAAAAGAAAAAGAAAGGCGCCGGGTCTGGGGACAGCGATTCCGATGGCAAGGGAGGGCCACTGCGGCCTTTTGTCAAGACGGCCACCGATCTGCAGAGGCTGAAATTGGAAAAACTTATGAAGCATCCAGTAAGAGGTGGCAGATTTGTTCAATAAATGTACTCACCATTGTCTTGTTATTCACAGGAGAAGCCCGTAATCATACCAGAGCAGCGTCGCGAACGGGACTACAATGCGTCGGTGCCAACATTTGTACGAAACGTAATGGGCAGCAGTGCTGGAGCTGGATCCGGCGAGTTCCATGTTTATCGGCATCTACGTAGGAAGGAATATGCCCGCCAGAAAAACATACAGCATCAAAGTGCCCGCGAGGCTGCGGACGATGCGTACCAACAGAAAATAGATGACAACCGGCGACTGGCCGAGGAGCGCACGGCCAAAAAGCGGGCCAAGAGGCTCAAGAAGAAACAGCGAGCCAAGAAGCCACGAGAACAAAAGACAGACGCAGCCAAACCGGAATCAGAGTCCAGTGGAAGTGCGTCGGAAGGGGAAGAAGACGCTGAGGAGAAGCCAGAAACGGCAGATCCAAAGCCAGAAACGGCAGATCCAAAGCCAGAGGCGGCAGCAGATCCGAAGCTAGATACGGCAGATCCACAGCCAGAGGCGACAGCAGATCCAAAACCAGAGAACACAGATTCGAAGCCAGAGACAGCAGACCCTAAGCCAGAAATCAACATCGATGAAGTCCAACAACGTCCTGAAGAAGTCAGCTGTGGACCACCAGAGAAAGTGGATTCTCAGAATGATGCTGAACCTGAAAAAAACGAGACCTGAATTGATTATCACTAGTCTAAGGTTTCCACTCTGAGCAAATACATGTTCTAGTTTACTAATAAAACAAAGTTGCAGTTTTATTATTATTTATATTTTAGGTATATGTATACTAAGCGATTTCTATATATCGCACGTATCTTTGTGTTTGTCATCTGAGGCCATCGTCTTAAAGCAGCTTTTGGTGAGAAAAAAAAAGCATTGAATTGTCTTGATTTGAGTGCGTATCTAGACTTATAGTAGTGTATAAGGTGCATCTATAATTGCATTTAATCGAGTGCAGTAAATGCTTTCGAAATTTGACATCAATGGCTATAAATAGTCGAGAGGGTAGTTGTACCCTGTGCAAACATGATCAAGAACCAGGGCATACAAATTTCTACTCATCGTTTGGGGGTTTTCTGTTTCTTGAAGAAGCAAGTTTTCTTTTATTGTTTCCAGTATATCGTTTATATCGTGAATCCATAGTTGTGTTCTTGTTTTTCTGCTCTCTGTTAAAATTTCAATATCATTTTGCACAAATAAATATGTATAGTATAATATTAATATATATATATATTTGCTTTTGCTTTTGCACTTATACAAATTATTATAATAAATTTGCAGCATTTTTCTACTATGTATTGTAAACCGTAAACGTAAATCATACTTTGAACTTAAAGCCAACTTAAACATGTAAGCATTTTGATGGATTTTATTTATGTTTATGTTAGATCCTTCTTTCGCAAAAGACAAAAGAACACACAAAACAGAGCAGAGTGAATACGGTTAAAAAAAGAGCCATCATTTGTTTGTATCGTAAAGATCATCACCTCATCTCACCTCATTTATGGTAAAAATTGTGTATAATAATTCAAGTATAATTCTCAATAACAAGTTTCGTTTCTCTGGTGAGTAAAAGTTTTCGTAAATCGTTGAAATACTTTCCTTCCTTCATTTGCAAACATTTAAACACTTTAAACAACATCAATGTAAACTTGTTTTATGATTTGATTTGAGAGTATGTTTGTGGATGGACAATCAATATTTATCTACTGGAACATTTTTTAAGATGAATATATTTTGTTGTACACTTGCAAAACTCTCCATCAATCCATTCAACTATAGACATAATTTTCTGCTTCTGCCTGTTTTGTTAAGCGAGCCGCTGCTTTTGGGATTAGCGAAGGGTCGAACGACCCGACACAGCATTTACATTAAACGAAATAATAATCGTAGGTGTATATGCATAGGCATTAACGTACATGTACTTTGTATATAGTAGGTAGGTAGGTAGGTAGTTACATATTTAGTTAGAAGGTTGTACAATTAAATAAATAATTCTTTTCGCGATTTTGCATTCGGCTTTAAAATACACTACTCGTAATGTGTTCATTTTACTGACGGACGCTGACACTGAAAGCGTCTGGAAAATAAACTTGCTGCTGGAGGTGGCTGAGACTGTTGCATTTATGTGTGTGTGTGTGTGTGTGTGGTGTTGTGTGTGATTTATTATATTAGCTTTATTTATGTTTAAATTGAGAAGTAAGCAAAACTTTTGCTGGGTTTTAATTTGCTTTAACGACACTCCCAGACCTTAACTGTTTGATCCACGCTGCCGCTGATGACGTACGGATGCGCCTTGTGAAAATCTGCAGGGAAATATATTTAAAATGTGTGAACTCGAGTCTAGTAGTGTCTCCACTCACCTATGGAGGTGCAGAAATGCTGATGTGCGTAGAGCGTCTTCATGCATCGCTTGTTGCGCAAGTCCCAGACCCTGATGGTCTTGTCATCGCTGGCCGACACTAAATACTTGCCACCCGGATGGAATGCCAAGCCACGCACCCAATTGTCGTGGCCATTAAGCGTGAGCAGGCACAGTCCAACGCTCACATCCCAAATGCGTATAGTTTTGTCTCGAGAACCAGATGCAAGGAATGGGCCCTGGTGGTGGCCCTTCTTGTTGTCCGCTCCGGCTGCTTCGTTTATCGCTGATGCTGCTGCTTCTGGAGCCCAGGCAATGCACTCCACGGTGTGCTCATGATCACGTAATTCAACCTGCAAATATGTAGATCTATAAAGATTCTATTGCTAGACAATAATCCGTATAATTTTTACCTTGCAGTCTTTTGAATTCGTCAACCAAACACGTATTGTGTGATCGTTTGAGCATGTGGCAAAGATGCTGCCCTCAATGTGCACTCGCACCATTCGCACCCACTCCCTATGGCCAGTATATGTCTTCACGCAGTACCTGTCGAGCAGAATGAAATGAATGAGTACCTAGCATCGAGGGCTTGTCATGGATTAGCAGCTTACCCGGTGGCCACCTCCCACATTTTGATGGTTCGATCACGTGAAGCAGACAGAACATAATCGCCGGCGGGCACAAAGGCCACCGATGATACATTGTGATCGTGACCGTGCATTGTTTTAACACATTCGTAGCTCTGCTGGAAATCCCACAATTTGATGGACAAATCGGCGCTGCAGGAAGCTTTATTGAAGATGAAGGAACGAGTCCATTAATTCGCTTTCAAATCAGACTGATGCTAAATCAACATACCCAAGAGCTTGCCCTGCGAATCGAATGCCACATCCTGCACAGAGTCGGTGTGTCCTTTTAGACTGCGCTCATAGTCGCCAGTTTCGAAATCCCAAATCCTAATGGTGGCATCTTCCGATGCTGAAACCATGAGGCCAAATATGGGATGAAATATAACCTGTAACAAAAATTCTTTAATTTAGTGTGTTTCCTTCCGGTTAATTTCTGATCTTTCACTTACCCTCGTTATGCTGGCTCGATGACCAGTCAGAGAGAACTTCTCTGGCGGGCGTGGTATCCATTCGCCGGGCGTGCGTTTGTTCTTTGTGGGCGCACCCTCGATAACCTCTTTCTCAGCTTCAGTGAGCTTAGCCTCTAGTTCCATCACCTTCTTCTGCAGGCGTATGACCGATGTCCACTTCTTCTCCAGCAGACCGCCATACTTCTTCTCCGACTCTGTGCTGACATCGGCCTCCTTGCGGAAGGTCTCCAGTGAGTCGCCGTAGCCATTTGAGCCCAAATAATCGGCAATCGCTTGGTTACTGTACGGAGAAAAGTAAAATGAAGATAAATTAGTAATTTGGTGTAGGTAATTGTTCGATTTACTTACAGCTCCTCGCGCTGCCGCTGCGACAACACCATTTTCATACTGTTCTCCGATTTGGCTTGTTTTCTGGTCTTTGCTGATCGGTTTTTCTGTTTTCAGTTCGTGCAGTTCTGTAAATGCAAGAAATAGACATGAGACATACGTGTATGATGAGTTGCTGTACTGGAAACAGGAAATTAGTTTCGCAAAAGGTAAATGCCAAAAATGCCACAGAGTTTCGTTTGAGTTCTCATGGAGGGCAAGTCACACACATTTCGTTGCGTTTTGTGTTTTGCGATTTCGGCAAGAGTGCCCACAAAGCTCAAAGCGAAAGGGGCGGCAGAGGCATTTGTGTCTGTCTCTTATGCTCATCTTTCGTCTAGTCATTATGGTGTTTCTTTATACAGAGCTAAAGCGAAGCATCATCATCATCGTCACCGTCGTGATCAGTTTCTGTTTCTGGCACAAAGTTTCGAGGGGAGACTACCATCAAAGCGCACATTGAATGCGAATCTCAGCAGGGTTTTATGACAGCAACAAGCAGAAAGGGAAGTAATCGAAACAATCTCAAGCTCAAATGGAATAGCTGGTGGAGCTGCACTGGCCAGCAATATGTGGGTTCAAGGGTCGCCCGACAATCGAGACATTTAAATGGAATTAGACAAGGCAGCATATCTTGCTGTAACTATAAATAGTGCGACAAGTTGTTGCTGCTGCTGCTGCAAGACCATTTAATTGACACTCAAGGTGGACGTAAGGCAAAAGCAAAAGCAAATCACAGGTAGCACGCAATAAAGCGACAATCCGAAACGCAGCGAACAAACACACATATCGCTATCGCGCACACGAGAGAGATAACCAATAGACCATTGAGCGTTGCCAAACCTCTGTAAAGGTAGCCATTGACAAAGCCAATTAGCCAGACTTAACGGCAGTTCAAGCAACTTCTTATAGGCAAATAAGGGGAACGGAGCGGAATGCGAAAGAGGCAATACAAGCAACACAAAGTCCAAGCTTACACACACACATACACGCACGCAGTCTAGGAAATGACGTTTTCAAATTATTTTTGGCCAAATGATATTTAACGATTTTTTTAACTAGCATTCGACCAACAAAAAGTGACCAAACGAGTTCAGTGTTCAGTTCAGCAGCGACCATCAATACATACTCGTACTACAGGCAGAGTTGGATCTGACGACGCGCATGGGACCAGCCAGGCCGTGACGTGACTCACCCACGGGACACACAAATCGAGCGAGACTCTCGGGTCTTATCAGCTGTACAAGAACGGGAACGGTATAGGGAACGGACCCCCTCTTCCCATGAGTGGTAGACATTTACAAATATAAGTAGGTGGATGGATGCTAGAGAAAAACTACTGCGCATCTAAATATATAAATGAAAATCAATGAAATATCAACAACAACAGAGCTCCCAACGTCACGCGTATAAATGGAAGTGGCGCGTGGGCTGGGCCGGGCTTGTCGCGTGGGGAGTAAGGGTTCCTGGGGCTCCTCCAATGCCCGAACCGAGTCAACAGAATTTCTGTTGTGGCAACCAACATTCCGATTCTTTGGCATGCGCATTGTAACCGTATCTGCCTGTGTGTGTGTGTGTGTGTGTGTGTGGGGGCTTCTGCTCTGCTTTGAAAGAAACGGTGCCACAAAGCAAACACAATGGGCATAGGGGGGCGTTTGGGTCACACGCTGCAACAGCACACACAGAAGTTGCAGGCATAAAAGGGTGCCAGGCACCACAAACAGTAGGAAAAAGGTAAAACCAACTATGATTCTCACACTTGTGCTTGCTCAAACTATTTAATATTTGAATTTAACACGATTTCCACCTCTCAGAAGCTGTGAAACAGCTCGCGCGTGTGGGCGTGTGATGTCAGAGACAATGGTTGGCAATGCATAACGACCAGGGCTGCCGAAAAGTACGTACTTTGACAGGATGCAAGCTCTCTTTCTCCCTTGATTGCCTGCTGTTCCTTCTCTTTCTCTCTTTCTTGCGACAGACCTTGCACTTGCTTCTTTCTGCTTTATGGCTCTGGCATGTGTTGCAGTTGTTTTTTGTTTTTGTTTTTGCGTGTTTCATTGATTAACCCACACACGCAAAGCACTTGCACATGCAGCGGCAGTGCAAAAAACTGTTTCAAGAGCAGAAAGGAAATAATGCCGAAAAACTATGAGGGATGAGAAGCAATAAAAGCTTCTGAGTTTATCGGATTGAATAGGGAGAGTAATGGACTTTAATTGAACTGGGAATTCATGTAATATCGCACTAACCTCTTTCTGGGAAAAGCTCATGTACTGGGAGAGGTCTTTATGAGATAGAGCGCAGAATAAAATAGATACAGGCCCCCTTTGCTTTAACGTTTAAACAATTTGCAGTGTCAGAAGGCAGACAGCCAGTTCGAGTCTAGCGCTCCCAAGCTCAGCATTCTCCACACATTCTGGGAAATTGCAACGGCAACGGGAATGCCAGGCCATGGCCGAAGCAAAAACCCAAAACGGGAAAACTGTGAAAAAGAAAATAAAACTAGATTTCTTCAGAATGTGCAGAACTGGTTTGGGGTATTTTTCAACGTTTCGCCCATGTTGAGGGGTGTTGGGAGATTGGTGGATTGTCTGTTGGTTCTAGAACTATTGAGCAAGGAACTGAGTGTTGGGCTGCAGCTATTCCGGGGAAGGGAATAAATAGGTAAAAATCGATCAACGCCGGATTGGGCGAGAGGGAGGACACATTCTTCAACACATGCGCAAAAAATTCATACACAGGCACACACTGCGGCTCGGAGCGATGTGTCATCGCTTTTCTGGTGGTTGTAAAATGTAATTGTTTTTTTTTCCTTTTTGATGTCGTTTTTGCACTGTTCAGTTATTTTTTTAGTTTCTGTTTTACACATTTTTGCCCAATTTGCATAACTCTTTCTTTTGCTTTCTGGTTTCTTTTCAATAACAAACACAAAGCAAACACAATAACAACAACACACACAAACGAAAATACAAACTGTTACGACGGCCATCTTGGATAGAGGAGGGGGTGCCATGAGACTCGAAAAGGCATTATTTGCAAAATCGAAAATGCACAAATCCATCATTATACACTCAAAAGCATCACCAATGACTTTGAAATTGTGCCTTTATTTATTTATCTCGATACATAACGCACGCACTAACACACTCAAGCAACCAATGTCGAACGTCTGACAATTTTTCCATTTTTTCTCAGTGGCTCATTACATACCGTCGCTGTTGCGAAAAATGGCTTTGACAATGCGGAGGATCGCGGCGATTCAGATACTTGCTTTGATTATGCGCATCGAATACTTACACTAATTTTGTAATTCATATATTATATTTATAATTATTCGGATTTATTTATGTGTTTTTTGACAAATTTTAGCAGAAACGAAGAGCAGAGACGCTAGTGTGACCGCAGATCTATCGATAAAATATACGACCGACCATCAAAACTATACCAAAATATACGATATCCGTTCAAAAATATACCGCAAGAACCGTAATCTTAAATCATTTTTCTCGATTTTGCTGTTCTATTAATTATTGCTAGCTAGTTAGGATTATCCGCGCCAAAACTAAAATTGTATCCTATGGAAGAATCAATTCTGCATATGATTGACTGGTTTCAATGACTTATTTTTATTGGATTGATTGCAAACTAATGTTAAAACTAAAAAAGCAACCAACAAAAATAGTATAAAACGTTACGTCAGTGGGCATGGAATGTTACGTATTTGTCAACTTGTTGCTTGTCAACCGGCAGGTATAGTATAGTATGGGCATTTTTGTACCCTATTTCCATTAATTAAAATTACAATTTCGTTTTCGTTTTTATATACACTATAATTAGTATCATTATACGTTATTATATACATTATAAGGGTATCATATGTTGCTCATCCAGTGCCCATGTAGGGCACACAATGCTGATCACTTCTCGCAGTTATTATATCTCCAAAAGTATATAAAATATATAAACAATATATTTTCCAAACATAGCGTATATATACCGAGAACCAATACGATCCTAACCCACTTAATACCACTTTATATAAACGATTATTATATTATCCAGCTTGTTAAAGGTTAACGTCTGTCTGACACCGTTTAAACACAAAATGTGCTTGACATAAAAGGCGATCGATCAGTGGATTGAGTAATAGTTCGTTTTCCAAACAAACAACACAGCGTTACTATTCAGTTCAACTGATTTCTCATTTTCTTCACTTACTCCCTCTTACGTTTGCTGCTCGGCATCGCCTCATCTCTTACGGCTACAACCTGGATCGGCCTGTCCAGCTCCTCTGGCAATGTGTGCCCAGTTCTGCCGCGGTTGGCCTTCATCCAAGCACTTCTGACCGGCGGACCTATGCAAACGGGACATCTGGGCGCAGGAAGGCAACGACCGGAGTCAGTTTGTAATGTATTAACCATTTCTGATTTGAAGACTTACCTGGCTGCTTCGGCTACCGCCAGTTGAGCGACAATCGGAGAGGGATAGATCTTGAGGTACATGCACATCAGACAATGGGCTACCGGCAGAATTGGCAGCAGGAGTAGGCAACAGAAAAGTGTGGCCAGCCAAAATGCGTTCTTCAAATGCAAAAAAAAAAAATGAAATACAAGCGCAGTTAGGAGACGCTCTCTACTCACTATTGGATCCACTAGACGAGCACAAAGGAGGGAAACGCCTTGATGGTAGATGTAGGCGAGGGGCTGACAGTGTCCGACGTTGGTGTTGGCCTCGTAGATCAATCTGTTGATGTATTCCTGAAGCTGTTCGTTGACTGACAAGGTAAGGTTGCGGGCCAGATTGTTGATGTAGTCCTCGCCCTTACTCCTAATAAAGTTCTCGGACCTCTGTGTCGCATCCATCAGTATCTTGAATCCCTTGTTGAAGTTATTATTGTCGTAGAGAATGAGCTTGTCAATTTCCTTGACTATGGTCAATAGCTTGACCACGTCCTTCCGCATGGGGATCAATAGGTATTCATTGTACCTTTTGAGATCACTGAACGACATGTAGTAGGCGAGGCAGGCGGGCATGCTCTCCCAGTGTCTTACGTTTAGCTCAATGCCAAACTTCTCCGTTTCATCCCGCATTAATTCCATCTCCTTGTGGGTATACTTCGTGCAGAGAACATCGCTGTACATGGCGCTGTGGTAGCTCGACAAATTGCTGTCCCTCATTTCATTCAGTTCGAGCTTCTCCTCCTCCGTGAACAGATACAGCATGGATAGATCGTCGGTGAACACGGGTATTTCCTCACTGCCATCGAGGAATATTTCCATTTTCAGCAGATCCTTTATATTGTAGATCTTCGTCTCTTTCAGTAAATCGAAGATGGACTCATCTGCCTGGCACGCTCTTATGGCATTCGACGCCGACAGCGTTGCCGTCTCTTCCATATTCCGCGTCTTGTAGCGACTGAGATCGATCACGGGATCCAGCTGCCGGAATATGTTGAGCGAGCTATCGTCCCTCAATGAGGCACACGCTGTCGAGTATGTTATCAAGCCGATCATCATGTAGAACAGGCAAACTAGCGTGATGAACGAGAATGCACAAAATATCAGGATGATGGCTCTGAAATAATTGAGACAAATGGCAGGTCCCGGTTCGGTTGGCAACTTAGAGAAAACTCACATAAGTAGGCATGAGGCAGCCATGCCTTTGGAGCATGGTTTATATGGTCCTGGCATAGTCCGTTTAGGCCCAAAGAAGCCGCATATCAGAGCGGAAGTCAGGACTACGACAATCTACAGGCAGGCGAGAGAGATGGGCCATCCACAAAGTCGTCAAATGATTCAACTTACTGCAAAGAGCAACACGCAAATGACTATGTTGATGGCCCTGCGATCATGGCCAAACTTTTCGTACACATCCTCGAATGTCTTTGTGGTCCTCAAGGTGTTTAGGTGAATGTCGCTGATCAGAGAGTCGATCATGTCGCGCAATCCCGTAGCTTCGTCCAGCATCATTATTCTGCCTCTCCTGATGGATCGCAAGATTGGCGGCACAACGAGTCGCATCTGTTTCAGGATCATTTGCTTGATTTTGTTGAGGCGAAGCATGCCGTTTAATGGAATCTTATAGAATTCATCCTCAATAATCTTTTTGATGGCTTCGGAATAGGTTGTGGTATTCGGCACCTACAAATGACAATCATTTCATTTATAGTTGCGGGTTTAGCCATGGGGAAAGGGGAGTAGATACCTTGTCCATGTGCAGACACCTTGCGGTGCCATAAAGCATTACGCCATTTTCACGGTTCCACTTGTAGCACTTGGGCAAATGGCACAGAGCGTAGGCGGCATAAATCAGATTTCGCTTTTGGCCACGCAAACCGTCTCTAAGTTGGCTGCCAAGCAAAATGATCTCCTTCTCCAAGGCATCCACTTGCACCATCAGCGTGTACGCCTTCGGCATGTTGCGGAAGATGCGCTCCATTTCGGCTAGCGCATTGCTCTCAGAAGTATCTCCCAGGTCCAGGAATATGTGGTTGTGTGCGTCTAAGGAGTCAGATGGAAGGTGGAAAAATGTCATTTACCGAGTTCAACTCACTGTTGAGATGCTCATCGAGGTGGGCCTCCATCTCCTGGTAGTTGTACACCATCAAATGGTAAATGTGATCAGCGACTTCTTTGAGGAACGCGCAAGTGTCCTCACTCGAACGTTTCATTGTCATCTTGGTGTCCTCGAATGCCCGATCCAGGAATTTGTTTGCAATAAACGCGACGATGAGGCCAAAGCTGCAAACAATCGGAGGCACATTATTGTGGCTGCCCTGTGGCAGTTAGATCGACCCAGACACTCACATGAGGAAAAGGACCATTAGGGCAAGGCAGATGCCGCAAACCAGGCGCCACGGACGTTTTTTGGATCTGGAATATTGCTTGCAACGCAAGCAGCAGCAAAAGCAGCAATAGCAGACACTGCGGGGAGGATCTTCATCAGCACTTTGTACCTCGTGGCCGAGTCTTTGAGGGTTTCACTTACCCAATAAACGGAATCACAATGATAAAGGTGAGGAGGAATATCACGATAAGCAGCAGAAACCAGTAACTGTGCAGCAGAGCAGCCCAATCATGCTGCCTCACCTTGGGGCCCAGAGCCAATTTGTTGTTGTCCGTCAACGTTACATAGCCTGCAGGGGAAGGTGTTCGTGCGGGGGTGGGGCTAGGGAATCACTGAAGACAGCTGCTTACTGGCATCGCTTACCCGGCGGCATGTCGGAAATAAACATCCGAAAGATAAAGTGCATCATCTTGTATAAGGGATTGAGGGCTTTGTGCGTTGAGGTTAGATCTCGGGAATAGTTGGCGTATCCGCTGTACTGGGTAAACTTGACGGGTGGCCAGTGTCGCTGTCCCAGCTGCTCGTGGGTCGTACCATCGCCCACGTAACCCTCGCGCCAAACGGTATCAGCCTCGGCTCTACTATTAGTCCCACTGGCACTTTCTTCGGTCTCAGCTGTGGCAGCCTCTCGGATGATAATTGGCAGTGTTAGGGAGAGCAGCAAAAGGATCACCTTCAACGCATGGCTGCATCGAACAGCGCGAGGAGCGAAGTGACGGTGGGTCCGTGCTTTACTGGTGGATTTTCTATGGCTTGGAGGTGCCATACTGTCACTCTTTCCTTTCCCAGTGGATATACAACTTTCGCTAGAGTACATTTTTCAGCTGCAACGGACGCTTCACTTGACACAGTCGTGTGTATCTGTGTGGGTGTATTCTGTTTGGCTGTGTGCACCCTAACTGGGAAATGCACGTGTTCTTGACTTGTTGTTATGTGTACTGTTATGAGTGGCAAGTGTATTATCTTATGTGTCCAAATAACAGTTAACTCAGAAACAGCTGACTGGAATTCAAATATTCAGAATGTGGTCACATTACCCAAGGATTTGTCGATAAAAGCAACCATGTGCCGCTATCGATTTGCCACCAACACAACATACTATCGATGTATTTTCAGTTAAAAGATTCAAATCAAATATGTTTGTGTTCAACAGGGAAGTTTTCAGCTTAAATCACTTTATAGCACTATATAGTATTTTCTGCAGCAAAACTGCAGTTTGTGTTATCTTACCCACACACAAATAAAGGCACACAAGCACACACACATACAGTTACGATGGGAGTAAACTTGTTGTTATCAGCTCACACCCACACACCCAAACACATAGCAATCCCCATCCAGAGGCGGTTACTTATTCTCCTTCACGCTCAGTTTTCGACAAACGCTCAACGGAAACGGTTATAATTATACTTCTGGACGACACTTTCGATTGTCAAAGTGCCGAGAAACCATTAAGAAAAACGAACGAAATAAACTTACAAAACAATAACTTTTGCCAGTGAGTGCAGCAGCTTTCGTTGAAGGAATATTTGTGCTCGTAGCCATAGCCATACCCATACCAGTGACAGCCATACGCTGAGAATTCATTGTGCAAATTGCCAAAATATGTAAATAATTTGCCAAATTATGGCACTTCAGCTAGCCAGGCAGGCAGGCAGGCAGGCAGCGTTATCAGACAGTCAGTCGATCGATCTAATCAGCAGCTGATTCTATTTGCTCCCATTACACGCCAGTAGTGTGATAGCAGACAAATGATATCAGAGAGAAGAGGCGCCTTTGTAGATGCAACAGAAGCTGTCCGAACAATCCTTAGCAATCCCATTAGCTTGCATTTTGGCTTGACTCCTTTATTGACTTGTCATTCGAAGGGAATTTATTGCTCACCCAGCCAACCATTATTCGCTTTTATGGCCTGCAAAGTGTGTGGAGTGTCGAGTGTGGAAGGCGTTATCACTCGACTCTGATTATATTCCGTCGATAGCAGCAGCTCAGCTTGGCTTGTTCGCTGTATTCGTCAGCCTGTAACCGCTAAATGGTTATTATTGGCTTATTTGTGGGTTTTTGGGGGTAAATGGAATAAAGTGTCAGCCTTCTGCCCGTGCACTGTGATTTGTTTAAACTTTAAACTCACAAAAACGATGGAAATTGTCATTGGTGTGGGTTCGCGTACGTAGTTCCTCGAAGACAGATAACGAATATGTCGAAGTATGCCATTAATAAGATTCGAGAAATGTAATTTATTTGCCTCATAAACGTATCTGCCAGTCGTGACAATGATGTGACAACGAAAATTAGTAATTAGTGCTGCCGTTTTTTGCAGTTTCTGTTTGATTAAAAGTCAACAGCAGCAGCAGCAGAAGCAAAGCTTCAGCAAATGATGAAATGTCTCCCCTCCGTTCCCCCTGTATATCTACCATGAGTATACGCCATTAAATGGCCCTCCGGTCGTGATAAGAATACGCCAGAAGAGCAACGTCAGAGCCGGAGAGTAGGAGGCCCTCGGTAATCGCCTTTACCCATTATCGATCGAGTCATACTGAATAAATTTATTGGTTGTGTTGTACAAGAGAGATCACTATCAGGGGATCCAATCCTTGTATCTGCTAGCCACTTGGCTGCTCATCTCAAGTGGCTTGATAATACTTTCGCAATTCCAGCCCATTGCCATTCCCATTCCCATTCCCGTTCTGTGCCTGACATTGGTCACGCCTTCAATGTGCGCCGAATCTTTCGGTCCCGTTCGTTCTTTATCGGTTTCACTTACTTGTGCCATGGATCTGCCATACATTTCTCCACTTTCTTTGTCTTCATTTGACTCGTGCATTTCCTTGCATTGTTGCGCTGGTCAGAACTGCAGCAGCTGATGATCCCGAACCAAGGGGAATCTACTTAGCAGGTGACTGTCTTCGCTGTGGGGAGGACCAATAACTTATTCACCACGCTCAGAGCAATTGGTTCGCGAAGGAGATGGCCGTGTGGTGAAGACTTGAACTCACCTTAATCCGGACATGCCACCAGGGTACAAAAATGTTTAATAAAATCACAACTTTCCGCTGCACATTGAACTCTTAATTATTTGTTATTATAAATAACACACACACACACACACACACACACACACCAAAAGGTTTAGCTGGGGGAAGTCTGAGGATGAGGTTAATGATTTATGGAAATTCCCCAGCGGGGGCCAACCGGTTGTGCGTGCACACAAAAGTATTTCACTTAATAATTTATTGTACAATTAATAAGCAATCCGATTCGAAAACACTTGCACAGCATCCGACACAACCAAAACAATGTGGCCCTAAAGATGGACAGTAATTACTGGAAGCCAGCACTCAAGATATACGGACTGATCCTCCTGCTGCTGTTCGCATGGGCCCAGGCACAGACTGAGCTGCCGAGTGGATCCACCTCCGATGATCAGGAGTTGGCTGAGAGTGAGTTTCACATGTGTGTTTGGCTTACTCTGCCGCTCTAACAGTGTCTGCTTACAGAGGTGGAAATCCAAGTGGCCTCGACGGCCTACACGCTCGCCTTCAGCATCGCTGTTGGGGACACGGACTATGCCATCGAGGGCATCACCTGCCGCAATGGCAGCGGCAAGGAGAGCAAGGCAAATGAGGCCAATGTGTGGTAAGACTCTGCAGGAACTAAAGCTGATTCAACACTGTCAAACTATTCCCTTTTGTAGCGAGAGCCTCGATCCCTGCACCTTCTACACGTGCGTCGTGTCGCTGCGGCCCATCGATGCCAAGCCGCCGACGCCTGACCAAACGATCTACGCCTACACCGAGTACAAGGGTGAGTGGAATGAAGTTTGCTGCAGCTGCAGACATACCCTAATGCATCTGCAATCACCATTTCAGAGCCTAGAACACAGATGACCGAGGTGCTGGCCACCGCAAATACCATCAAAGTCTCATGGGAGACGAACGATCGCTCGTGTGTCCAGTCCTTTGAGATCACGGCCAAGGCTGCGGAGTTCTCCTACACGACGCAGCAGCTGAGCGAGAAGAGCACCTACACCTTCATGGACGTGCACGCCTGCCTCACCCACACCCTGACCCTGCTAACGCGTAACAATGCCAGTCACGTGGTGGATATGGACACGGACAAAGTGGAGACACTCTACTCGGAGCCAGGCGATCTTTCCATGAACATCACGAACATGGCCAATGGCATAACGGTCGTCACTTGGGCCGATCCCACGGAGAAGCATTGCATCGCCTATTACATTTTCAAGTGGAAACGAAACGACTGTGAGCAGGAGGAGGAGGAGCAGCAGACGACCACGGATCTGCCTATGACTCTCAATACGGACTATGACATGGAGACAACCGAACCGGAAACACCCGATCCAGAAGTGCCTCCCGAGAGTGAGGATAGAGGTGAGTTTCCCCTTTCTTATTGGATCATTATCTGACTGGACTCTCTCCGCAGTTGAGTGCGAGTGGAGCGACAATTCGGTGGATTCCAAGCTGAGGGAGTATCTGCTGACGGATCTGCAGGGCTGCGAGCAGCACACCTTCGAGATCTACATCAACGCGAACGAAACGGCCAAAGCCTCACAGCAGTTTACATCCGCCGAGAAGAGTAAGTAGACGTCAGAGTAAGCCCAAGAATCTCCTCTCAATGCTCCCATTCAGTGGCCAGCGCTGTCTTTGAGCCCGTTCACAGCATGAACTCCACGGAGCTGCGCTGGATGTGGTCCGAGCCGCAGGATCATCCCAAGTGTGTGGCCAACTACAGTGTGCAGCTGACGGGACCCATGCAGCGCCTCAACGAAACCCTCGAAGTGGTCACCACAGACAAGATGGCAGTCTTCGCAAACCTCGATCCTTGTGGCATCTATCGCGTGAAAATTGTGCCGATGATGCTGAACGGAAGCTCAGGGGCCAAGTACCTGGCGGAGACGACTGTCAGCGAAGATCGTGAGTCGATGGAGATGCCAGGCAAAGGCTTGCCATTAACATCCCTTCCCTGTTAGAGCCCTCGCAGATCCTGGAACTCGTCGTGCTGCCCGGCTCCTACTCCCTGGAGTTAAGCTGGCTCACACCCGCATACGCGGACTTGTGTATCGATGGATATCGCATCTCCGGCTGGATGGAGGACAACAAAGAGGTGCTCAGTGCCACCACCAAGAACACATCTGTGACGTTTAGTGATGGGCTGTTGGCCTGCCAGGCGTACACCATACAGATTATACCCTACACGAGGGAGAACCTCGATGGCGCTCTGCTCCAGAAGGATGTGGAGACAACGGCGGCCGTTGTGAACTCTGACAAGGTGAGGAAACTCACGTTAAACTTCCGCTGAATGTCGCTGATTTATCTCCCTTGAATCCACACAGATCACTCTGCAAATGGCCACCAATGGAGCTGCTTCGCATAGCCTCACGTTGATTGCCAACAATCAGGACTACAACAACACCTGCCAGACGATCTTCGCCTTCTTCAACTGCAGCACCACGGCCAAGGTGCGCTACACCTATGCGGAGCGTTACGTCGAGGGTTACACAAGGACAGGTATGCATATCTCTGGGCGGGAGTCCTTCCTCTCGCTATCCCTGTGTACTTCCTTGCAGGCTTCCAGGCAGAAATCAGTCCGCTGTCCCCGAACACCGCCTACTTTTGCGACGTGATGCTGTACAATGTGGCAGGATCCTCGAAAGTGCGACGTACCCTGGAGAACACGCACACGCAGAACTACTGTAGGTGATCCACTCCATTCATCGATCAAATCTCTCTCGTTCGAGAAGTAATTCCTTCCGCTTGCAGTTCCCGAACGGCCCGAGAATGTTAGCATCGATGAGAGCCGTGTGCAGAGTCTGATGTTCACGTGGAAGGCGCCCACCTATCTGAATGGAGCCATCAAGTACTACCAGGCCTTCCTGATGCGTCACCAGCCCAACTACACAGTGCCCGAGGACTGCGAGGAGGTCAGCGAGAATCCCAAGTCCGAGACAAAGGGCGATCTGAGCGTCAACTTCACTGAACTGGCTCCGGGTGTGCGCTACATAATGCAAGTGGCTGCCCAGAATGAGTTCGGGATGGGAGAGTACACTTCTCCGATTATTGGAATCACTTTGCCCGCGGGTGAGTCATCGCAGCATCCTTCCAGCCACGGGGGAGTTTAATGAGAGTCCCTTTCCTTTTGGCAGTCTCTGAGCGCGTCACCCAACTGTCGGTCAATCCCATGGGTCCCTCGCTGGACTCCTCCGAGACGTACAACGCCAATGCGACCATCACCTGGATATTGCCCTGCAAGTCCAACGGCAACATTGAGGCGTTCATCCTGGACTTTACTGGAGATCGGGCAGCACACGAGAAAGTCGAGTTCCGGCGCATCGTCCCGCCAGACACGGCGGACCGCAAGGGACGCATGTCCTACACGGAGACGGACATGAAGCCGGAGTACGACTACCGAGTGAATGTGACCGTGAAGAACGTGGATGTGGACACGCTCAGCGACATCGCGACGTCCCAGTGGCAGTCTCCAGCGGGTCGTAAGTATAACAAGAGGGATTCTTACCTCCGTCTCTGATCGCTTTCATTCCCAGTTCCCGCTCGTTTGGGCAGCGATGTTGTGGGCCAAATGCGTGTCAGTCCCAACGAGACAAGTCACCCGACGAGATCGGCCATCGTGCGACTGCCTGCGGATATCCAGAGCTCCGAATCGGGCAACATCACGTACATTGCGTTGCTGCTGTCGCAGAAGAACTGCGCGGGAACGCCAGAGCTGGGCTCCGCCCTGGTCAACGCTGCTTCGGCATGGCCCGATGTGCAGTCCTATGAGACGGCAGGCGGAGACGGCACGGCGGAGTGCATCTATCAGTACCAGACGACCGAGGAGCGCTGGAACCCGCACACGGTCAGCAGGGAGCGGGGCGCCGGCGAGGAAATTGTCTTCACCATCGGCGAGGACAAGTGTCCGAACGGCAAGAGGTACTGCAATGGGCCACTGCTGGCGGACACGCAGTACCACATGGTGGTGCGACTCTTCACCAAGTCGGGCTACCGCGACGCTGCGCTGCTGGAGTTCCGCACGGATGCGGCCATCAAGGTGACACTGATCCTGATCAGCGTCTGCTCCTGCCTGCTGCTGGCCTTTGTCCTGGGACTCGCTGTGCTGTGGGTGCGCAAGCGTCTAGCCTGGCATCGCGACTCTGGCCAGGGCATTGAGGATCCCTTTGGCAATGTGACAGCCAAGAACTTTGCCATTTTCTACGCCGAAGTGGCCAAGCCGGAGAAGCTGGCCCGCGAGTTCAAGGAGATCACCGTCGTGGCGCTGGAGCTGAGCTACTCGGCCTCCGAGCTGGGCTGCCACAAGAATCGCTATGCGGATATTTATCCATGTGAGTGCGCTCCCTGGTTCCTGCTGGAATGAATTTCAGTTTACCTTCCATTTCCAACAGACGACAAGAATCGCGTTATTCTGGACATAGATGCCGAGGGATCGGACTATATCAATGCCTCATTCATAGATGTAAGTGCTCTGAAATCTGCTTCACTCTCTTCCAGCCTCTCTCTCACTTCATCCATTTCGCAGGGACACACACGCAAGAAGGAATACATTGCCACACAGGGACCCAAGCCGGAGAGCCTCATGGACTTCTGGCGCATGATTTTGCAGTACAATGTGCGGGTGATTGTTCAGGTGACCCAATTCCGGGAGGGTAATACGGTGAGCATCTAGCATACATGTTCCAATATTCCAATCCAATACTCAAAGCTCATCCCTCGACAGATCAAGTGCCACGAATACTTCCCGTACAACCTGCGCGGACTGACGGTGAGCGTCAAGTCCAAGGAGAACTTTGAGCTCTACGATCGAACGGAGCTGACGGTGGTGCACGACAAGTACGGCCTGAAGGAGAAGGTTGTGCACTTTTACTTCAAGAAGTGGCCCGACCACGGCTGTCCCGAGGATCCCATGCACCTGATTGCCTTCGTGAAGAAGGTCAAGTCGGAGCGGCGTCCCAGCTACTCACCCATCGTCGTGCACTGCAGTGCGGGCGTCGGCCGGACAGGCACCTTTATTGGCCTGGACTTGATCATGCAGCGCCTGAAGAGCGAGTCTAAAATCAACATCTTTGAGACGGTCAAGAAGCTGCGCTTTCAGGTACAGACACAGCTCCTCCTCCGTCGCTTTCAGTTTTTCTCATTAGATTTCCTTTTCCTTCCCTTGCAGCGCATGAAAATGGTGCAGACGCAGCAGCAGTACACATTCCTCTATGCCTGCACCTACGAGCTGGTGAAGCACAAGATTCCGCGTGCCGCACTCAAGCTGGAGGGACGCCCGAAGTCGGCGGCGACTACCAAAAAGGTGAGCTTCCCCGAAGTGGCTGTTGGCAATGTGGTTGGCTCGGCGCCTAGCACCGATCCGGAGAGCGGAGTGCCCACCCTGCAGCTACCGGCGCGATTCTCTGGCCTTCAAAGGGGCAGGGAGCAGCAGCCCTTTGGGAAAGACGACATCAGCAGCAGCAGCAGCATCATGTGACCTGAAAGTGATCGTCGCTTGTGTATTTATTGTAATTGTATTAAACGAGTGTAACTTAGCAGCAATAGTAGCCAAAGAATTGCATCTAAAGCAAAAACCAATGCATGTAAAATGATAATAAATGGAAAATATACGTACAATTCCATTTTCGAACTCGTGCTTATAATAAACCGTTGGCGGCCGAAGGTAGAGCGAGACAAGCGTATTGTCAATTGCACACAGTGAACGTTTTACAGTACTGTCGCTTGGCCGAAACAGCTGATTGTGAAAATACAAAAATAATTTAACATTTTTATTTACAAGCGTAAATCGGATAAAATTATAATTTTAGTGCCGAGAGTCCTAACCAGCTGGCAATTTTAATTATAATATTATAATCGAGGAAACTTATTTAAGATTTACGGTATATTTTGAAAATGAAAATAGTACGGTATATTTTTTAGGGTCGTGAGGCTCGGTCACACTGGTTGCAACTATACAAATAATTAAACATTTTTATTTACAAGTCGGTCTTATTCTAGCAAAATGTCTGAGCGAAAAGTTCTAAATGTAAGTCTAAAACACATGTAGGAAACGGTGCTAAGCTCACGACTAATCACGTTAATGCATTGCAGAAATACTATCCCCCGGACTTCGATCCGTCGAAGATTCCGCGGATGAAATTGGCCAAAAACCGTCAATACACCGTACGACTGATGGCCCCGTTTAATATGCGATGCGTGACCTGCGGCGAGTACATCTACAAGGGCAAGAAGTTCAATGCGCGCAAGGAGGATGTGGAGAACGAGACGTACCTGGGCATACGCATCTACAGGTTCTACATCAAGTGCACCCGCTGCCTGCAGGAGATCTCATTCAAAACGGATCCACAGAACACCGACTACGAGATCGAGGCGGGGGCCACGCGCAATTTCATGGCCCTCAAGCTGGCCGAGGAGCAGGCACGACGCGAGCAGCAGGAGGAACGCGAGGAGGAGGCAAATAATCCCATGAAAATGCTCGAGAATCGAACAGAGCAGTCGCGCAATGAAATCGAAATGTTGGAGAGCCTCGAGGAGCTGCGCGACCTGAACCGACGCCAGCAAACGGTGGACTACACCACAATGCTGCAGCAATATAACACAGGGGAAACGGAGCGGGAACGTTTGGAGCGCGAAGAGCGTGAGGATGAAGAGTTTATCAAGTGAGTGCTGCCACGCCTAAACTTTCCCAAGGAGACTCTATAACGTGTTCCCTTTCAGATCTGTCAACTTTAAAAGCAAGCCCGAGGGCGGCAATCGAAGAGTAGCCGAGGAAATTATTGAAGATATCAAAGAGGAGGCAGCGGACCCATTGCCAGCTCCTCCGCCAGCTAAACTGGCTAAACCCATTGGTGCTCTACCTGTAGCCGCGTCCACGAGCAAAGCATCAACCGCTCAACCTCAGTCATTGGTGAAACGTAAAGCACCTTTGGTGCTGGTCAAGCCAAAAGCAGCAGCAGCCACACCCTTGGTGCTTGTCAAACCAAAAGCAGCAGCCACAGCAACGGAGATTGCAAAAGCAGCAGCCATCACAACGGAAATTCCAGATCCAGTTGCAGCTCCAAAGACCACAGCGCCAGCAGCGGGTCTATCCCTGCTAGCAGCCTACAGCGGTAGCTCAGAGGAGGACTCCACTTGACACAGCATTTACACAAACCAACTACTGACTACCTACGCATCTGCAGATCCATGCAGAGTCTCCGCCCTGTTGTCGCTTGAAACTCGTGTGAAATGTATATAACAATAATAGTATTTTGTATGTATGTTTTATATACTTTGAATCGTTGAATGCATCGTTTAATTAACATTTGACTTCAATTTTAATTCAATTTCAAATCAATGATTTCGTCAAGGCCATTCCATTCATAAGGCAAATAAATTTCAAATTTCTGCAACAAATATTACGAGTAGACAGATGATTATCCATTATCAAAAAATATTCTTCAATGGTGCACACACCATAAAGGTGTGGGCATAAAGAACTTATCGAACTAATTATGGTTTAGAGTTAGAGCTAATAGAACTATGTATTATGTATGTGATATATACAGAGTCAGGGAAATGGATGTGTGTGTGGGTGTGGGTGTGTTATGTTACGCTTAAAACTCGGGCAATCAAAAATAAAAAATAATATCACAAGCGAAACAAAATTATAAAATACACGATGGGTATGTCCTACGATACGGCTGCTGTCTCTCTATACAGATGATTCTCGATTAAGGGGGTTGAGGGGTGGAGGGGTTATAAGTATAGTTAAATCCATTTGGATGATTCATTTTCATAAATTACGAAGACACTGGTATGTTTCTCTAGCTGTCGTACATAGCGTAGCTTGGCGCATAGCAATCAATAGCATAGGCAATAGATAAGGCCTCCTCTCTCCTCTCACTCTCACTTGTTCTCTCTCGCTCCTCCATGGGAGTGGAGACTGTGGGATTTTACACATTACAAATTACGGCTTAAACAGTCTTTGTTCATTTTGGGAAGGGGGAAGTGGGCTTTGGGGGTGCTTGGGTTGCGGTGGGGCAGCCACTTGTATTTTTTGGTATAGTTTTTCCTGCTTTCTTCATTTGGTTTAGCCTTCTCCTAGATGTCCACCGTGGTGGCCTGCTGAATGGCATTGTAGCTGCTGGCGGCACTGCCACTCACCCCTGCACCAGCCCCAGCGCTGCACTTGCGTGGCAGCACTTTGGGTGCTGCTCCAGCCACACCACCGTTTGCACCTTCAACTGCCCTTGCACCACCGCCCCCGTCGTAGTTATGATTGTTGTTTTGCAGGAAATGCTGCTGCTCGGCCGCCGAATGGTTCAGCTCGAACAGCTCCATGTCGTCGTACTCTGAGATGCCCAGAGCTCGTGTGGGAGCATATTGCAGATCGTTGTCTCCCTCTGCATCCTCCTCGTCGTCTGTGTGCGGCGGGTTCTTGTGCCTGCTGCTCATGGCCACAACGAAATCCTCCAGACTGCGCTTGACTGCCGCATCTGAGCCCGTGCCCGAATCCTTGCTGGACAGATGATCCTGCTGTGCCTCCAAGTCGGTTTGCTGCAGATAGCTGAGCGTCAGACCCTGCTCCAGGCAGCGTTGCTCATACGAAGGCGTTGTGGTCACAATAAGACGACTGTGCGCACCGCCCTGTCCATCGCCGCAACCCAAATCTGCCAGACTGCGTGGCCGCAGTTGCGGCAGCTGCAGCTGCTGCTGCTGGGAGGGAATGCCATCTAGGACCAGTTGGGACTGGTGGGGCCGCAGCATGGTGCGATTCAAGGTGGTCAAATGGGTTTGATCCTTGTCCAGAGTCGAGTGTTGGCTGGCGTGGGTGCGTGCTGCCAGCCGTTCGGCAGCAAGGCTGAGCAGAAACTTTCGCTTCTGGTAGCGCAGGGTGCACCAAATGATGCAGCAGTCGACCAGGACGCAGGTCACAGTCAGCAGAACAATGCCCATCAGCAGCACATCCCAGTTGAGGTTCTCCTTGACCACCACCAGCTCCGACTGCAGCGTCAGAGTGCGCGAATTGTCCGTAATCTCGCAGCGATAGTGTCCCGCATCGTTCGATTGGGCGTTCAGAATCACGAGCAGCTCCTTGCTGCTCGTAAAGTAGTAGCGCTCTCCGTCCGGCGTTGTGGGTGAGATGTGGATCGGCTTGTTCTCCTTGAACCATTCGCGATGGGGATGCTCCAGCTCCAGGTCTGCGTTCGCCGCCTCACTGAGGCACTCGAGCACACAGGTGCGACCCACAACCACCTCCTGGTGCACCAGTGGAATGCTGGGCTGTGGTTTGTCTAGGAAATGGGAAAAGGAAAATCACTACGAGCCCCAGGCACAGAGAGCCTTTGCCACACTTACCATTCACCATCAGCGTGGCGTTCACTTTGATCTCGCCAGCAGCGCTCTCCGCCGTGCACGTGTAGATGCCCGAGTCGCTGGGCTTGGCGTTGGTTATGAGGAAAGCGTTCTCCTCGCGTATCACTTGCAGGCGCCGCTCAGTGGCCGCTGGGAAATCGCTGGCTCCAAACTTTTGCAGCGCTATCTCCGGCATGGGATCGCCGCTGGCGGAGCACACAAGTCTGGCCGTTTCGCCAGCATCCAGTGTCAGGTTGGAGGGCACGTGCAGGAAACTGGGATGAACTGGACACAGAGAGAATCATTTAGAGGATTGCTGTTAGAGAAATGTATTCGATTCTTACTTCCTATGGAAATCTTGAACTTTTGCGCATATGTCGTCCCAAAGGCATTCGAGACGACACACTGAAAGCGTCCAGCGCTCTCGTAGGTCACATTTGTCAGCCGTAGATATCCATAGATGGAGGTCTGATTGGTGCTCTGATCGTGCCGAATTTGTGTCTCCGTGCTGGCTCCATCGTGCAGCGCCGCTGGACGTTCCTGAATGTGCTGATTGTCGTGCCGCCACTTGATCTTCAGCTCATCGGCGGCTGCCAGTGAGGCGGCTGTGGGAGAGCTGGCAATGCATTCCAGTGTGATGTTGGCACCCTTCACGGCCAGCATATTGTCCGGCTCCTGTTCGAGCTTTGGCTTAGGGGAGTCAGCTAAGGGAATTTCAGTTTTAGATTAGTTGATTCAGCTAAGAGACAGCGGCTCTGGGGGTTAACTCACCACACACAAGCTCCGCATTGGTCAGCGTGTTCAGTTGACGATCCAGCAGATGCTCCGGATAGCCACAGACCACGTTGCCCAGCAACTGGGCGGACTGCATGGCAAAGTGACTCTGCAGCCACTGGCGGAACCAGATGAGTTCGCAGTCGCATATGAAGTTCAGGGACTTGAAGATCAGCTTCTGCAGTCGGAGCATGTGCTCGAAGGCATTTGGCTGGATGCTGGCAAGCGCATTCGAGCCGAGGTTCAGCAGCTCGAGGTTGTTGAGGCCACTGAGAGCTTTGCCACTGATTTGCTTCAGATTATTGCCGTGCAGATCGAGACGTCGTAGCTTGCGCAGAGCTTTAAACGGCGCGGCGGCACTCTGATCCTCAATGATCCAGGACAGACGATTGCGACGCAGATTCAATTCTTCCAGATTCTTCAC